AAAAAAAAAAAAAAAAAAAAAAAAAAAAAAAGTACTAGTATATAGTGTATAACTCATGTAACGTAGTATAGTACTAGTATATAGTATATAACTCATGTGACGTAGTATAGTACTAGTATATAGTATAGTATGTGGTTGTACGGTTGAGATGTGTGATGTAGAGTTTCATTGATTTATATATGATATGAAGGCTCTAACCAGTATGGTAATACTTACTAATGACACAACTTTAAACAAACAGAGTCCCAATGCAAAGTATTTACATTTCGGCATCGTTGTATCATTGATGAATCTAAAACGGGAAAAAAAAAATTTGAAATCAAACTGTGATAAATAAGTGTAGGCACTGCCTGATGCAATTCATGTTGTATCTAGGAAAGTTAAGTATCTATCATAACAACATGGTTTACATATTTACCAGCAAAATTTATATAGACTGCATGTGACTGAAAGTCAGTATATTCATGTATGGCTGTAACGGATGTCAGAATAGCCTTTTAACCTTAAAATACCTTATATGTAGGGGAACGTGAGAGCTTATACCTGTTCGGTAGGAGTATGGACAAGAAAACTCTACTCCCTTGTAAATATTCGAACCTGTACTTTACCTGTTGTTTTAGGAGGACGTGTTATAAATATCAGAACCTGTGCCATACTTAATGTTTAAGGAGGACATTGATTAATATCCAAACATATGCCTTACCTGTTATTTAGGACATGTAATAAATATCCAAACATATGCCTTACTTGTTGTTTTAGGAGGACGTGTTATAAATATCCGAACCTGTTCCTTATCTTTTGTTTTAGGAGGACGTGTTATAAATATCCGAACCTGTGCCCTACTTGTTTAGATAGGACATGTAATAAATATCCGAACCTGTTCCTTATCTGTTGTTTTAGGAGGACGTGTAATAAATATCCGAACCTGTGCCCTACTTGTTTAAATAGGACATGTAATAAATATCCGAACCTGTTCCTTATCTGTTGTTTTAGGAGGACGTGTAATAAATATCCGAACCTGTTCCTTATCTTTTGTTTTAGGAGGACGTGTTATAAATATCCGAACCTGTGCCCTACTTGTTTAAATAGGACATGTAATAAATATCCGAATCTGTTCCTTATCTGTTGTTTTAGGAGGACATGTAATAAATATCCGAACCTGTTCCTTATATGTTGTTTTAGGAGGACGTGTAATAAATATCGGAACCTGTGCCCTACTTGTTTAAATATGACATGTAATAAATATCCGAACCTGTTCCTTATATGTTGTTTTAGGAGGACGTGTAATAAATATCCGAAACTGTTCCTTATCTGTTGTTTTAGGAGGACGTGTAATAAATATCAGAACCTGTGCCCTACTTGTTTAAATATGACATGTAATAAATATCCGAACCTGTTCCTTATCTGTTGTTTTATGAGGACGTGTTATAAATATCAGAACCCGTGCCCTACTTGTTTAAATAGGACATGTAATAAATATCCGAACCCGTTCCTTATCTGTTGTTTTAGGAGGACTTGTAATAAATATCAGAACCTGTGCTCTACTTGTTTAAATATGACATGTAATAAAGATCCGAACCTGTTCCTTATCTGTTGTTTTATGAGGACGTGTTATAAATATCAGATCCTGTGCCCTACTTGTTTAAATAGGACATGTACTAAATATCCGAACCTGTTCCTTATATGTTGTTTTAGGAGGACGTGTAATAACTATCCGAACCTGTTCCTTATCTGTTGTTTAAGGAGGACGTGTAATAAATATCAGAACCTATTCCTTATCTGTTGTTTTAGGAGGACTTGTAATAAATATCAGAACCTGTGCCCTACTTGTTTAAATAGGACATGTACTAAATATCCGAACCTGTTCCTTATCTGTTGTTAAGGAGAAGGTGTGAAACGATTCTTCTGATCTATACAATACCTCTTGTTGAGGAGTTATAAGTTGAGAAATTTACTTACCTGCACTATTACTGCTGTTGAGGAGTACACGTGTGAATATTTTTTTGTCTCACCTGTGAAATACCTGATGTTGTGGAATATATGTGAGGTGATTTTTTTAACAAGTACCATGCCTGTTGTTGAGGAGTAGGTGTACGAGGTTATGTGACCTGTAACACACCTGTTAAAGAGTTGGTGCAATAAATGTCATCTGACCTATACCATACATAATGTTGAGGAGAAGGTGTAAATAATGTCGTGAGCAATGTACAAAATGTACCTTACCTGTTGTTGAAGAGAGTAGATTTAAGAAGTCTTGTGTCTTGTAGCATGTCTGATGTTTAGGAGAGATATAAAAAAAGGTCGCGTGTCCCGTACCATGCCTGTTGTTTAGGTGGAGAGTAAGACAAGTCATGCGACCTGTGTCAAGATACTCTTTACTACAGTGTTTACTATAGTGTGTACTATTGAGGTTACTCAACCGTGACAGTTCATTCATACGTGAAGGGCACGTGCTGTCACCCAGGTGAGTTTGAAAACTGGTTTGACCAGTGTTGGGACTGTAGGTGTCTCAGGTGGCTCAGGTAAGGTGAGGAACACATGCTAGGCATGCAATTACCAGGTATTTTACAAGGTACCCAAGGTAGGGTGGGGTAGTACCGCACAGAACGTTGACAGTGAGGGTTGTGGTCTAGGGCTCAACGACACAATGTATTAGCTGGGTGCTAATGATGGCTGTGTGCCTATATCTCTACATGGATAGCTAGGTGCTGGGAGGGCTGTGTGCCTGAACTCCAATTCCATTGCCAATATGTATTAGCTGGGTGCTAATGATGGCTGTGTGCCTTTAGATATAAATTCCAAGCTGTGTGCTTCGAAGCTGTTTTGTGAGGCTGTGTGCCCTGTGTTTGTGTGGACTGTGTCCATGAGGCTGTGTGTCCGGATGAAGCTACCTGGGAGTATTATCAAATATGTAATTGTTGGGTGATACGAGAGCGTATATTATATGGTTATTAAATAGGGGGTTTATTATAAGTATAGTCTAATGCTATATAACTAGTGTGTATGTAGTTGATCACCAGAGTGAGAAATGGGCTATTATGGTAAAAACCTGACTAGGGAATTTAGTATTTCCTAAAGGAAGTGTAGACCGTCTGAAATACTCAAGGCATATATATTAATGTGTTGTACTAGACATTCGGGCTAGATTATGTACTATATATCATTGGTTATGCCTTGTAGGTAACCTCTTTATGTGACCCCGACCATAGATAGACCTTATGTAGGAGTCGGTTTGGCTGTAACCAGATGTAAACCTGGTGTGACCTTGATTCGACCTTGTATTGGACCTATGATTCAACCGGGAACGATTTCACCAATATGGAGAGAAGTGTTGAGCTCCGTCTTGAGTGACATGAACCGTATAACTAAGGTGTACTCTGATACTGTGGAATACATGTGCAGAGACTGTAACAGCACTTGATGGACTCTATAAGTTATATTTATTGATGTAGGGTGAACTATTTGTAAAGGGTAAACCGGGGGTCTATGTAGTGTTAGGAGTGAGTGAAAGATTGTTGCACAGTGTGATTGTGTACTTTGTGGTATTTATGTTGTGTACATTGTATGATTTGCTTGGTTGTAAATAAATGTATATATGTTTGATATAAGTTGGTAATGCTAGTTTGTATTAATTTTGGCCATATATACCACACCTCGTGACAACCTGCACTGTATCTGTTGCTAAAGAATAGGAGTAAACCAACGTCGTATGTCATGTACAAAGTGTACCTTGCCTGTTGTCGAAGAGAGACGATTAAGGAAAAGTCATGTGCCCTGTAGCATGCTTGTTTAAGAGTTTGTGTAAGAGAAGTCATGTGCCCTGTAGCATGCTTGTTAAATAGTATGTGTAAGAGAAGTCATGTGTCCTGTAGTATGCTTGTTTAATAGTATGTTTAAGAGAAGTCGTGTGCCCTGTAGCATGCTTGTTTAATAGTATGTGTACGAGAGGTCATGTGCCCTGTAGCATGCCTGTAACATATCTGGTGTAGGAGAAGTCACGTGCCCTGTAGCATGCTTGTTTAATAGTATGTGTACGAGAGGTCATGTGCCCTGTAGCATGCCTGTAACATATCTGGTGTAGGAGAAGTCACGTGCCCTGTAGCATGCTTGTTTAATAGTTTGTGTAAGAGAAGTCACGTGCCCTGTAGAATACATGCTTGTTTAAGAGTTTGTGTAAGAGAAGTCATGTGCCCTGTAGCATGCTTGTTTAATAGTTTGTGTACGAGAAGTCATGTGCCCTGTAGCATGCTTGTTTACTAGTTTGTGTACGAGAGGTCATGTGCCTTGTAGCATGCCTGTAACATATCTGGTGTAGGAGAAGTCACGTGCCCTGTAGCATGCTTGTTTAATAGTATGTGTAAGAGAAGTCATGTGCCCTGTAGCATGCCTGTAACATATCTGGTGTAGGAGAAGTCATGTGCCCTGTAGCATGCTTGTTTACTAGTTTGTGTACGAGAAGTCATGTGCCCTGTAGCATGCCTGTAACATATCTGGTGTAGGAGAAGTCACGTGCCCTGTAGCATGCTTGTTTAATAGTTTGTGTACGAGAAGTCATGTGCCCTGTAGCATGCTTGTTTATTAGTTTGTGTAAGAGAAGTCACGTGCCCTGTAGCATGCTTGTTTACTAGTTTGTGTAAGAGAAGTCATGTGCCCTGTAGCATGCTTGTTACATATCTGGTGTAGGAGAAGTCATGTGCCCCGTAGCATGCTTGTTTGATAGTTTGTGTAATAGAAGTCACGTGCCCTGTAGCATGCTTGTTTAATAGTTTGTGTAAGAGAAGTCACGTGCCCTGTAGCATGCTGGTTTACTGGTTTGTGTAAGACAAGTCGTGTGCCCTGTAGCATGCTTGTTTACTTGTTTGTGTAAGAGAAGTCATGTGCCCTGTAGCATGCTTGTTTACTAGTTTGTGTAAGAGAAGGCACGTGCCCTGTAGCATGCTTGTTTACTGGTTTGTGTAAGACAAGTCGTGTGTCATGTAGCATGCTTGTTTAATGGTTTGTGTAGGAAAAGTCACGTGCCCTGTAGCATGCTTGTTTAACAGTTTGTGTAAGAGAAGTCATGTACCCTGTAGCATGCTTGTTATCTAGTTTGTGTAAGAGAAGTCACGTGAACTGTAGCATGCTTGTTTATTAGTTTGTGTAAGAGAAGTCGTGTGTCCTGTAGCATACTTGTTAAATAGTTTGTGTAAGAGAAGTCACGTGCCCTGTACCATGCTTGTTTAATAGTTTGTATAAGAGAAGTCGCGTGTCCTGTAGCATGCTTGTTTACTGGTTTGTGTAAGAGAAGTCGCGTGTCCTGTAGCATGCTTGTTTAATATTTTGTGTAAGAGAAGTCATGTGAACTGTAGCATGCTTGTTTAATGGTTTGTGTACGAGAAGTCATGTGCCCTGTAGCATGCTTGTTTAATGGTTTGTTTAAGAATAGTCACGTGCCCTGTAGCATCCTTGTTTAATAGTTTGTTTTTGAGAAGTCGTGTGAAATGTAGCATGCCTGTTTACTAGTTTGTGTAAGAGAAGTCACGTGCCCTGTAGCATACTTGTTTAATATTTTGTGTAAGAGAACTCATGTGAACTGTAGCATGCATGTTTGATAGTTTGTGTAAGAGAAGTCTTGTGTCCTGTAGCATGCATGTTTAATAGTTTGTGTAAGAGAAGTCATGTGTCCTGTAGCATGCTTGTTTACTAGTTTGTGTTAGAGAAGTCGTGTGAACTGTAGCATGCTTGTTTAATAGTTTGTGTAAGAGAAGTCATGTGCCCTGCAGCATACTTGTTTACTAGTTTGTGTAAGAGAAAAGTCGTGTGCCATGTAGCATGCTTGTTTACTAGTTTGTGTAAGAGAAGTCACGTGCACTGTAGCATCCTTGTTTAATAGTTTGTGTTAGAGAAGTCGTGTGAACTGTAGCATGCTTGTTTAATAGTTTGTGTAAGAGAAGTCATGTGCCCTGCAGCATGCTTGTTTACTAGTTTGTGTAAGAGAAAAGTCGTGTGCCATGTAGCATGCTTGTTTACTAGTTTGTGTAAGAATAGTCACGTGCCCTGTAGCATCCTTGTTTAATAGTTTGTGTTTGAGAAGTCGTGTGAAATGTAGCATGCTTGTTTACTAGTTTGTGTAAGAGAAGTCACGTGCCCTGTAGCATACTTGTTTAATATTTTGTGTAAGAGAACTCATGTGAACTGTACGTAGCATGCTTGTTCAATGGTTTGTGTACGAAAAGTCATGTGCCCTGTAGCATGCTTGTTTAATGGTTTGTGTACGAAAAGTCATGTGCCCTGTAGCATGCTTGTTTAATGGTTTGTGTACGAAAAGTCATGTGCCCTGTAGCATCCTTGTTTAATAGTTTGTGTTTGAGAAGTCGTGTGAAATGTAGCATGCTTGTTTACTAGTTTGTGTAAGAGAAGTCACGTGCCCTGTAGCATACTTGTTTAATATTTTGTGTAAGAGAACTCATGTGAACTGTAGCATGCATGTTTACTAGTTTGTGTACGAGAAGTCATGTGTCCTGTAGCATGCTTGTTTAATAGTTTGTGTAAGAGAAGTCATGTGAACTGTAGCATGCTTGTTTAATGGTTGGTGTACGAGAAGTCATGTGCCCTGTAGCATGCTTGTTTAATGGTTTGTATAAGAGATGTCATGTGCCCTGTAGCATGCTTGTTTAATGGTTTGTGTAAGAGAAGTCATGTGCCCAGTAGCATGCTTGTTTAATGGTTTGTGTACGAGAAGGCATGTGCCCTGTAGCATGCTTGTTTAATGGTTTTTGTAAGAGAAGTCATGTGCCCTGTAGCATGCTTGTTTAATAGTTGGTGTAAGTGAAGTCATGTTAACTGTACCATACCTATTGTTTAAGAAAAGACTTGAAAAAAGTCCCCTGGCCTGTTCTCCCTCTTTTGGATCCACTCGAACCTTGTAGGCTCTATCCAGGATTATAATCAACAGCACCTGTAACATCATCAAAGTAACTTTTTTCATTTTGTCAAACAAATTCATTAATATAATATACCTCCAGTTAAATGGTTAATCTGATGCCTTTATACCAGGTGTCCCTCAGGACGACCTTACCTTTATACCAGGTGTCCCTAAGGACGACTTAACCTTTATACCAGGTGTCCCTGAGGACGACCTTACCTTTATACCAGGTGTCCCTGAGGACGACCTTACCTTTATACCAGGTGTCCTTGAAGACGACCTTACTTTTATACCAGGTGTCCCTGAGGACGACCTTACCTTTATACCAGGTGTCCCTAAGGACGACCTTACCTTCAGAACAATACTAGCTGTTGGTTAAAATGATCTCACCTCCAGAAGGATCATAATGGCGGAAAAAACTACTGCTGTCGTGTCGTACCGATGCAGTGTGGAATCCAGAACAGTAGTGGTACATTCCTGGGGGAAAAAACTAGATGTACATACGTGTGAACCATATAATTGTGTTTACACTAGCATACAACAATAGGCTAAACATATATTCCCTGTATTAAACCTGTGTTCACTGATTGGAGTTATAAATCCAAGCTTGACCAATGTTCCCGTGGTATGTATACAGAGTTGCAGATACGAGTTAATATTATGTTTCTGTGTTCCCTGAGAGTAATAATCACGAGATAATCGTGCGTTCTGGTGTTCTCCATCATTCAAAAACAAAACACTAGATGCTTGAAATCTAACATGAAAACAAAATACAAGTCTACATTTCGTGATCCCCATGGCCAAACCACACTCAACGATCTTCATGATAAAATGTAGGTATGTAGTTGTGTCTGCTGGTAAAGCAACTAACAGCTTAATCCTTGCCTGCAAACACTTTTATATTTTCTATACCTGCTTATAGAAAGAACTAAGCTTGCTAGATACCCGTTACCACGGAAAACCTAACCTATACAGTTTCATGTGGATTCTGCAGAATTCAAAAGATCTTATGTTCAACCTTGCACATCCTCTTCTCAAAAACATTTCTTTTTATAAAAACTTTTGACCCCTTTATATTACCATGCCCCATACCAAACTGAAGGAACGTCTTCGTTCAATTAATATGAGGCGAACGACGATATCAATATATGGTTGTGAATTATTTTGGCGCATATTTTGTGAAAAATACAACAAAGCCAGAATGAAATATGCTGAGGCACTGTATTGAGAATGATTGAGTTCCTGGTTGACAATGCATTCACTGGGTTTGGTGGCAAGTTTTCTTTCCATCAGGCTTCAGGCATTCCTATGGAAACAAACTGTGGCCCAATTCTGGCCGATTTGTTTTTGTTTTCGTATGAAGTTGAATTCATTGATGAGCTTATAAGAACTTAATAACTAAAGCTGTCACCTGGGGGTGACAAGGATACTATGCCCCCCGTATACACGTAAATTGTATAATGACAATGCAAGTGTCACTCTGAATCTGAATTGGTAGGTCACTTGAATCCAATTCCTGACATCAATGCGACGGATGAGAGAGAGCGAAGCTAGCCTTACATGTTGGTGGGGCCAGCCTTGAAGGCTGTCTCAGAACTGGCAAGTACTTGGTGGTTTTCTAGTTGATTCCTCTCCATAATTGTCCGTACAAAGAAGCCTGTTTCAGAAGCAGTGTCAGATTTTGCTGGTATATTTACTAAGCACTTGGAGTGGTTTGTCTAATGGTCGTTCACCATATTTTTACAATGAAAATCCTTTAATCTTTTTGTTGTTTGGATACGTCTTTTGCGTAGGTAACGCTGGCACTAGCCCCTCAATCACCCTGTATAGAGACGTGAGGGGTAGGTAATGCTGGCACTAGCCCCTCACCCACCCTGTATACAGATGTGAGGCGTAGGTAACGATGACACTAGCCCCTCTACCGCCCTGTATACAGATGTGAGGCGTAGGTAACGCTGTTACCAGCCCCTCAACCACCCTGTATACATATGTGAGGCGTAGGTAACGCTGGCACTAGCCCCTCAACCACCCTGTATACATATGTGAGGCGTAGTTAACGCTGGCACTAGCCCCTCAACCACCATGTATAAAGATGTGAGGCGTAGTTAACGCTGGCACTAGCCCCTCAACCTCCATGTATAGAGATGTGATGCGTAGTTAACACTGGCACTAGCCCCTCAACATCCCTGTATAGATATGTGAGTCTTAGTTAACACTGGCACTAGCCCCTCAACATCCCTGTATAGATATGTGAGTCTTAGTTAACACTGGCACTAGCCCCTCAACGACCCTGTATACAGATGTTAGGCGTAGGGAACGCTGGCACTAGACTCTCAACCCCCATGTATATAGATGTGAGGCGTCGGTAACGCTGGCACTAGCCTCTCAACCACCATGTATACAGATGTGAGGCGTAGGCAATGTTGTCACCAGCCCCTCAACTACCCTGTATACAGATGTGATGCGTAGGTATGGATGACACTAGCCCCTCTACCACCCTGTATAGAGATGTTAGGCGTAGGTAAAGCTGGCACTAGACTCTCAACCCCCATGTATATAGATGTGAGGCGTAGGGAACGCTGTCACCAGCCCCTCAAACACCCTGTATAAAGATGTGAGGCGTACGTAGCGCTGGCACTAGCCCCTCAGCCACCCTGTATAAAGATGTGAGGCGTAGGTAAAGCTGGCACTAGACTCTCAACCCCCATGTATATAGATGTGAGGCGTCGGTAACGCTGGCACTAGCCACTCAACCACCCTGTATACATATGTGAGGCGTAGTTAACGCTGTCCCTAGCCCCTCAACCACCCTGTATCCATATGTGAGGCGTAGGTAACGGTGACACTGGCCCCTCAACCACCCTGTAAAAAGATGTGAGGCGTAGGTAAAGCTGGCACTAGCCCCTCAATCACCCTGTATAGAGACGTGAGGGGGAGGTAATGCTGGCACTAGCCCCTCAAACACCCTGTATACATATGTGAGGGGTAGTTAACGCTGGCACTATCCCCTCACCACCACCCTGTATACAGATGTGAGGGGTAGTTAACGCTGGCACTAGCCCCTCTACCACCCTGTATAGAGATGTGGGGCGTAGGTAACGCTGGCACTATCCCCTCACCACCACCCTGTATACAGATGTGAGGCGTAGATAACGCTGGCACTAGCCCCTCTACCACCCTGTATACAGATGTTAGGCGTAGGGAACGCTGGCACTAGACTCTCACCCACCATGTATATAGATGTGAGGCGTCGGTAACGCTGGCACTAGCCTCTCAACCACCATGTATATAGATGTGAGGCGTCGGTAACGCTGGCACTAGCCCCTCTACCACCCTGTATAGAGATGTGAGGCGTACTTAACCCTGGCACTAGCCCCTCAACATCCCTGTATAGATATGTGAGTCTTAGTTAACACTGGCACTAGCCCCTCAACATCCCTGTATAGATATGTGAGTCTTAGTTAACACTGGCACTAGCCCCTCAACGACCCTGTATACAGATGTTAGGCGTACGTAACGCTGGCCCTAGCCCCTCAACCACCATGTATAAAGATGTGAGGCGTAGTTCACGCTGGCACTAGCCCCTCTACCACCCTGTATACAGATGTTAGGCGTAGGTAACGCTGGCACTAGACTCTCAACCACCATGTATATAGATGTGAGGCGTAGGTAACGCTGGCACTAGCCCCTCAAACCCCCTGTATAAAGATGTGAGGCGTAGGTAACGCTGGCACTAGACTCTCAACCCCCATGTATATAGATGTGAGGCGTAGGTAACGCTGGCACTAGACTCTCAACCACCCTGTATATAGATGTGAGGCGTAGGTAACGCTGGCACTAGCCCCACAAACCCCCTGTATAAAGATGTGAGGCGTAGGTAACGCTGGCACTAGACTCTCAACCACCCTGTATATAGATGTGAGGCGTAGGTAACGCTGGCACTAGCCCCTCAACTACCCTGTATACAGATGTGAGGCGTAGGTAACGCTGTCACCAGCCCCTCAACCACCCTGTATACAGATGTGAGGCGTAGGTAATGCTGTCACCAGCCCCTCAACTACCCTGTATACAGATGTGAGGCGTAGTTAACGCTGGCACTAGCCCCTCATCCACCCTGTATAGAGATGTGATGCGTAGGTAACGATGACACTAGCCCCTCAACCACCCTGTATACAGATGAGAGGCGTAGGTAATGCTGTCACCAGCCCCTCAACCACCCTGTATACAGATGTGATGCGTAGGTAACGATGACACTAGCCCCTCAACCACCCTGTATACAGATGTGAGGCGTAACCCCCTACGCATGTATTGCAATGATTTAGGCTGAGATTCTTTTAGCATGGATTCAACACTGCCTCTTTCCCTGGACTTGTTATCCCAACAGATGAAACGTGTTGCTCGCCTCTGGATCCGTTCCAGTTTTAAGATCTTTGATTTTAAGTAGTAGTCCCATGTAATCGCACTATGTTCCAGTGTAGACAGAACAAGTGATACAAAAGCATTTGTGTGCTGTCTCTTTGTCTCCCTTTATGTTTTATTCTGGAGTTTTCTCCCTTCCCTTGCTCTCTTGTCAGGCGGACATTTTTGATACCGAAGCAGCCACATGCTTCGCCATGTATCTGTATCTGTATTTGTAGATCCAGCCATATTAGGTCGGCTCAGCTCATTGGTGCTTTATTATGGCTCCTTGGAGTATATACTTCATTTAAACAGCTTTATCTAGCTGTCAACTTGTTATCGAGAAATTTTGCGGGTGCAATTTAGGGTTATGTTGCTATACTGTTGGAGAGCCCTTGGTTGTTGAGTCTGTTGATGTGTAGCGCGTATAGATAGTTCCTGGAGGTTTACAGGATTGCACAGTCTACGTCCTTTTTGACACATACGTTCTTAGCCTTGAAGAATTGTCTGTGGTTGATTGTGATCCAAGTGATTTCTTCTTCACACCGAATCGGTAATATATCGTCGAGTATTGAGTTGAGTTTTGCGACGTACCTGGTTCGAATATCGATTGAGCTCAAACACTGAGCAATAAAATGTTGTCTAGTTTCTGGTTGATTATTGCACATAGGGCATGTTGGATCGATCTTATACTGGTTGAATATCGCTTTGGTCGTTTGTAGCCTTATGTTCCAGTTATAATTCTGGTTTTCACTGTGATTTTCTTTGTTTCATAAGTTGTAAATAGAAGAGTTCCAAGAAGCGGATGAACTCTTCCGAACGACCAGCACTGCCAGAGATGAACTTTAGCGAAGACTTATAACACATTTTCAAGTTGAGGTTTGTTATCCACCATTTAATTACTGTAGAACATTTCATATTATTATAATTGATAAGTTTAAAGAAAGAGAAAGGTTAATTTTCTATAAATATTTCATTTGAGATGATTAATTCTTTAAGAAAAAAAAAAAAGAAGACGGAATGTGGTATCTGTCTATTGTATATATTCAGTCAGGTAAAGGGACATAACTCGTCCATACTCGCCATCTGTTATATGTGGAACTCTCCAATGTGAAGTTAATAAAATATGTTGAGTGTAATGGAACACATGTGTTGACTGGATCTAATATGTACAAGAACGAATCAGGTTCAATCCGGGGATGGGCAAGTCATCCAAACATATGAAGCACGTTAGATGCTTCAAATGTCTACGTCAAATGTTCGTTGACAGGCTTCAAATTTCTTTTTTTTGATAGCTTTTGGTTTGTTAAGATGGTAGGTTGTGCTGGTAGATGGTACGATGACGGAGGCATTTTTTGATGGTGTAAAAGTTTTTGGTGGTTGGCGATTACGGGTTGATCTTTTCAAGGTTAAGCTCATGTTGGATGATTAGGCATGCAGAATCGGAATGTTTTTATGGAAGTACGATAATTCACCAGTTTTATATGTCGACACACCATTTTGTAGCACCTTGACACAGATTTGTAACGCTTAAAATCAATAAAACACACACCATGATGTAAGCTGTATAAAACACACGGTAAAAATATGTCACAACTTCAGTATTTGGTAAAAACAGTGGAACACAGTTAAAACGAAATAAGAACGATGCACTGTAGTCTTATGAATTAGATTGAAAAATACACTGCCGAGTGAGTCAATGTAGAACAGGCAGTAGAGTATTTGGGTTACTGCAATAAATGGAGTAACGGCAGACACAAGGGCTTGGTCGGCCAGAGCTCTCGCACACGATAGCAACAATGACTTATGGATAAAAGGTCATTTAAAACAGTAAAAGTTCATATAAAAGTTCAGAAAACAGTTCAGAGGCCGCGGGGTCGCCCTGACTCTACAAATAAAATGTTTTTAAAAGTTCATATAAAAACGATAAAAACACTTGAATGGGAGCTTTTCTGGTGCAGGGGGACCAAAGAATGTTCAGGGTCGAGTCATATTGTGTTCATGATATCTGGTCCGACATATTTTTTCAGAAACCAAAATGGCGTCGGGTTTGCCAGCGTGGCGGGTATTGGTAGAGTTCGATAGACGACGGCAACCGGGCTAGAATAGGGATAACAAGCTGTACAAATACTGCTCAGTTCAAACACTATTCTACCAGCTGTCTAAATTGACGTCTATAACTGCTTCCTCTCTTCTAAGAATTTTTTCTCCACGAGCTCATAAGAACACGTCCGCACCATTCACTCTTCACATGTTTCTCATGTTGAACATGTTTACAGACGAATTCAATCACATCCCCACTGCCACTACCGTGTAGGTTTATTGTGTTAACTGTAGTATGTTACCCCATTGCTTGAACTTTTGAATGATTGTTTCTTATGACGTTATACTAGCTCAGTATGGTGTTTGTGTACATTTCTATACACATTTTAGTATGCCTACGGTATTCTGGATCTATGAAACTCAGGTCTATGTCAGTAATCCGGTACAGAAGAGTGAAATAGTATATCTATATCTAATTATTTTACAGTTCCTCTATATAACACCCTACGTGCAAGCTACAATTTAAAATTTGAGATATTTTATAATTAACCTAGTCTTGAGGCTGAAGGCAATCCTTGTTTGTTTTCTGATTATTGCTATGGTAATTGGTATGTTTTAATTTCCTTGGAAATGTAAAAAGGAAGGTTCCTTGTGGTAGGAAACACTGCAATGTAATAATGTGGTGACATTTTATATTATATTGTTCTAAACAAGTATGCTTAAATTTATTGGAAGTTATGATAAACTCGGAGACTTTTTTTTATTAATTTCATTTTATTTCAATAATCATGATGAAGTATAAGAATTTCTATTTCATTTCATATTTGTAAGCAGTATGAGTGAGACAATTTTTGTATTGCTATGTTTCAGTTTTTCACCCTCTCCGGAGGTTTGTGGAAATAAAGCCATTAAACAGCACAATTTGTTTTGCATGTTCTTGAGCCGTTTCGTAAGTTCCGACGTAGGAACCCAAATATAGAACTCGCTTTACTACATTTATTGTTTATATGTGTATTTCATTTCAGATCCTCCGAGATCATAAGGTCGAGGTATGGGTTTTTGGATACAGATTTGAAGAATTGGTTGTTAAAGTCATAGAAATGTGATTATTTGCTGTTTATCGAAAGATATACTATGTGCATATGGCGGCTACATAGAAAGGGACGTGTCCATTCAAGGAGTGGTCCTCGTATCCCATAGTTTTCCAACTTATATAGTAGCTTATCATGGGGCACTGTATAAAATGCCTTGAACAAATCTAATATTATAACGTTAGTTTTTAAACCCTTATCTTGTTCTTGACAAAGTCGTCGATGGTTAGAGACATATGAGTTTCGCACGAGTACCCTGAGCGGAAACCGTGGTTAAGGGTTGTTAGGACATTGTTCTGTTTAAAATGTTGTAGTAAGTGTTTGCAGACAATATGTTCCATGAGCTTGGAAACAACAAATGTAAGGGACACTGGCCAATAGTTTTCATTCTCTGTACTCTTGTTTAAAGGTTTGATCCCATTAGTTTTTGATTTCTAATATATTTGTCTCTTTCATCGAGAGCCCATATTTTCCCGCCCTTTTCTCGCTAAAGAAATAGGAAGTGTGTTCACAGTCAGATATACGCTTCCGTTTCTAGGCTAATTCAAACCACCGAGATGACTGCTACAAATGTATCAGGATATTAAGATAAAACGATGTGGAAACGGGAAAAAATCTGGAATCGGCAGAAACAAGACAAAACCATATAGTGAATACGCAAAATTGTAAGGAATACTTTCTATGTTAAATTCGTAAGGATTAGGCCAAAAGAGGAAGGTTCGGTACATCTGCATGGTACTGCCACTACAGGAAAAGTTTTAAAGAAATCTATTGAAAAATAAGAAAATGCAAAGTCAAACAAAATATTGTCAATTATTTACGTTAAGGGGCATAACTCTATTAAAAAGGTGCAAAACGCAAAATTAGTTCAGGGGGCACAATTAAATATGTATAATATAATAAGTCCACATTTTGTTGATGATAATTTATTATGTACTGGTGAAGCGTGCTGCCAGCATGGACGTACGTTTAAAAGTCGACAAAAACTAGACTTATGTTATGTCTTTTATACCCTACCTTCCAGGTTCTCAGTGACCCATAAAACAGGTCAGTTGACATCCTTGTCCGTGTCACATGGACAAGATGTCAGGTACAACTAGAGTTGTCGCCAGAATGGCTGACTAATACCCCCGCTTCCGCCAAGTTATATTCATGCAAAGTTTCAATGAAATCCACCTGTTAGTTAAGGAGGAGTGGCGCGGAAAAGTATTTTGAACAAAGGGGCCCTTACTCCACCAAAAAGGGTCGAAATTCCAAATTAAAATGCCTGTGCACAACTACATAAGATACCGATTATTCGTGCAAAGTCTCAATGAAACCCATCGGTTAGTTAAGGAGGAGTTTTCCGGACAAGTTACTGCGGACGACAGACAGACAGACTGTGTTTCCAGTATACTCCCTTCCCTTACTTCGTTGCAGGGGTATACTTATATAACATAGAGGTAAGCAAACAAAATTACTACACCGTGCTAGTATATGACATGATGACCACGGGCAAGCATGCACTGCCTTAGGATATTGTCAATAATATGTGTAATGAAATGGTTTACTAGAAAATTACTTATTTATGGTTCATATGGTACTGCCACTATACAAAAGGTTTCAAAGAAACCAATAGAAAAATGAGGAAATGCATGGTCAGACAAGGTTTTGTAATTTTTTTAAAGTTTTGGGACATAACTCTCTTCCATTGTCCCAGCATGCAAAATTATTTCAGAGGGCACAACTACACGACAGACAGATGGATAAACGGACAGACGGACTATCTGATTCCAGCATATCCCTCCCCCCCTAAAAAAAGTACGTCACACGAGTTTGTTCCCTGTCTAGAGTTAAAGAAACAAGTTAGTAACACCTTCATATTTTCCTTGTACAGAGCAAAACACACAGTTAAGTCGCATATTTGTGTAGTTCCTGTAAAGAATAAGAGACACAAGAATATGTATGGCTATTGGTATACACACCTCAGTATACGCCGATACACCGGGACACATAGCGGTAGAATGAGACTGCAAAATTTGCCAGCGAACACCTTTCTCATATTCGCAGGGATAGCACGTCCAGGGCCAATCTCTCCATAAAACAAGCGTTGATCTAAGAGTTGTGAATACACTTGATTGTAGCAAACAGCATTTACCCTACAACAAATAGTATGCTTTCGTTTAAAACTAAAATTAAATTTCTAAAAGTAGAAAGAAATCTTTTGCTTGGGAATTCTCTGAAACTGTCATAAATGAAGCAAAAAGAAAAAGGAAAAAACCTAGAGAAACTGTGAGCAAGCTGACACAGTTATACCCCATGTCATTTTTCTAGGCATTCAGACTTTGTTTACAGGGAGTATAATACGCTCATCATATATTCCTTCCTTCTTGCACATAAGATGTCCTTTCACTGCGCCAAAATACCCAGCAAATAGTTAAAGAGTTTCTGGAGTAGTAATTTATATTTCCAGGAAAAGTAGAATCCCTAATTCATTTCATCGTACACAAGATGTAGTTTCACTGTGTCAAGTTACGAAAAAATCCAACCAACCATTTCGGAGGATTTGCGCTTAAGAGATTCATGGACAAACGGACAGACAGACAAGGTGATTTCTGTATATCCAATCCCCCAAACCCAACCCCCAAACCAAAAGATCGTTTTCAGTGGGTATCATAACACCATGATATAATTAATATTGACGCAAATTGCTTGTGTTTGTTTGAAACACATAACCACCGTCAGATATAAAAACCCACCTTCAGAGTGTTTGTTCAATTTCATATTATGTCCCCGCTAACATAGTGTTTGTTCAATATATGGCCCCGCTAACAGTAATTGTTCAATATATGGCCCCACTAACAGAGTGTTTGTTCAATATAAGGCCCCTGTAACAGAGTGTTTGTTCAATATATGGCCCCTGAAACAGAGTAATTGTTCAATATATGGCCCCTGTAACAGAGTGTTTGTTCAATATATGGCCCCTGTAACAGAGTGTTCGTTCAATATATGGCCCCGCTAACAGAGTGTTTGTTCAATATATGGCCCCTGCAACAGAGTGATTGTTGAATATAATATTATGCCCCCGCTAACAAAGTGTTTGTTCAATATATGGCCCCGCTAACAGAGTGATTGTTCAATATATGCCCCCGCTAACAGTGATTGTTCAAAATATGGCCCCGCTAACAGAGGGATTGGTCAATATATGGCCCCGCTAACAGAGGGTTTGTTCAATATATGGCCCCGCTACCAGAGTGATTGTTCAATATATGGCACCGTTAACAGAGGGTTTGTTCAATATATGGCCCCTGCAACAGAGCGATTGTTGAATATAATATTATGCCCCCGCTAACAAAATGTTTGTTCAATATATGGCCCCGCTAATACAGTGTTTATTCAATATATGGCCCCGCTAATAGAGTGTTTATTCAAAATATGGCCCCGCTAACAGAGTGATTGTTCAATATATGGCCCCGCTAACAGTGATTGATCAATATATGGCCCCGCTAACAGAGTGATTTTTCAATATATGGCCTTGCTAACAGTGATTGTTCAATATATGGCCCTGCTAACAGTGTTTGTTCAATATATGGCCCCGCTAACAGAGTGATTGTTCAATATATGGCCCCGCTAACAGTGATTGTTCAATATATGGCCCCGCTAACAGAGTGATTGTTCAATATATGGCCCCGCTAACAGTGATTGTTCAATATATGGCCCCGCTAATAGAGTGTTTATTCAAAATATGGCCCCGCTAACAGAGTGATTGTGCAATATATGGCCCCGCTAACAGTGATTGTTCAATATATGGCCCCGCTAACAGAGTGATTTTTCAATATATGGCCTTGCTAACAGTGATTGTTCAATATATGGCCCTGCTAACAGTGATTGTTCAATATATGGCCCCGCTAACAGTGATTGTTCAATATATGGCCCCGCTAACAGAGTGATTGTTCAATATATGCAATATAATATTATGCCCCGCTAACACAGTTTTTTTTAATATATGTCCCTGAGTTTTCCTTCAAAATAAGTCCCAACCCTCTGAGAGTTCGTTCAATATATGTCTTGCCTTCATAGGTCAATATTTTCTTTCTATTCGAGGTATTTGTTACATATATTCCCTGCCTCCAGAGTGTCTGTCCAATATATTCCCTGCCTCCAGAGTGTCTGTCCAATACATGCCCTACCTCCAGAGTGTTTGTCCAATACATGCCCTGCCTCTAGAGTGTCTGTCCAATACATGCTCTACCTCCAGAGTGTCTATTTTATCCAATACATGCCCTACCTCCAGAGTGTCTGTTTAATACATGCCCTGCCTCTAGAGTGTCTGTCCAATACATGCCCTACCTCCAGAGTGTCTATTTTATCCAATACATGCCCTACCTCCAGAGTGTCTGTTTAATACATGCCCTGCCTCCAGAGTGTCTGTCCAATACATGCCCTACCCCCAGAGTGTCTATTTTATCCAATACATGCCCTCCCTCCAGAGTGTCTATTTTATCCAATCCATGCCCTACCTCCAGAGTGTCTTTTCTATACAATACATGCCCTACCTCCAGAGCGTCTTTTCTATCCAATACATGCCCTAGGGGCAGAGTGTCTGTTCAATACATGCCCTCCCTCCAGAGTGGCTGTTTAATACATGCCCTGCCTCTAGAGTGTCTGTCCAATACATGCCCTGCCTCCAGAGTGTCTGTCCAATACATGCCCTACCTCCAGAGTGTCTTTTCTATCCAATACATGCCCTACCTCCAGAGTGTCTGTTCAATACATGCCCTGCCTCCAGAGTGTCTGTCCAATACATGCCCTACCGCCAGAGTGTCTGTTCAATACATGGCCTGCATCCAGAGTGTCTGTTCAATACATGCCCTACCTCTAGAGTGTCTGTCCAATACATGCCCTGCCTCCAAAGTGTCTGTCCAATACATGTCCTACCTCCTGAGTGTCTGTCCAATACATGCCCTACCTCCAGAGGGTCTGTCCAATACATGCCCTACCTCCAGAGTGTCTGCCCAATACATGCCCTACCTCCAGAGTGTCTGTCCAATCCATGCCCTACCTCCAGAGTGTCTGTTCAATACATGCCCTGCCTCCAGAGTGTCTGTCCAATACATGCCCTGCCTCCAGAGTGTCTGTCCAATACATGTCTTACCTCCAGAGTGTCTGGCCAATGCATGCCCTACCTCCAGAGTGTCTGCCCAATACATGCCCTACCTCCAGAGTGTCTGTCCAATACATGCCCTGCCTCCAGAGTGTCTGTCCAATACATGCCCTACCTCCAGAGTGTCTGTTCAATACATGGCCTGCATCCAGAGTGTCTGTTCAATACATGCCCTACCTCTAGAGTGTCTGTCCAATACATGCCCTCCTCCAGAGTGTCTGTCCAATACATGCCCTACCTCCAGAGTGTCTGTTCAATACATGCCCTACCTCTAGAGTGTCTGTCCAATACATGCCCTCCTCCAGAGTGTCTGTCCAATACATGCCCTACCTCCAGAGTGTCTGTCCAAAACATGCCCTACCTCCAGAGTGTCTGTCTTATACATGTCCTACCCCCAGAGTGTCTGGCCAATACATGTCCCAACCCCCAGAGTGTCTGTCCAATATATGTCTCAACCCTCAGAGAGTTTGTTCAATATTTGTCTTGCCTTCATAGTGTCTGCTCCCTCTTTTGGAGTGTCTGTGTAATATACGCCCTGATTCAGAGTGTCTGTGTAATATACGCCCTGATTCAGAGTGTCTGTGTAATATACGCCCTGATTTCAGAGTGTCTGTGTACCCTGCATCCAGAGTGTCTGTCCAATATATCCCCTGCCTCCAGAGCGTCTGTCCAATACATGCCCTACCCCCAGAGTGTCTATTCAATACATGCCCTACCTCCAGAGAGTCTGTCCAATACATGCCCTGCCTCCAGAGGGTCTGTCCAATACATGTCCCAACCCCCAGAGTGTCTGTGCAATACATGTCCCACCCCTCAGAGTGTCTGTGCAATACATGTCCCACCCCTCAGAGTGTCTGTGCAATACATGTCCCACCCCTCAGAGAGTTCGTTCAATATATTACATGTCCCAACCCTCAGAGTGTCTCATGCCCTACCTCCAGAGTGTCTATCCAATACATGCCCTACCTCCAGAGCGTCTGTCCAAAACATGCCCTACCTCCAGAGGGTCTATTCAATACATGCCCTACCTCCAGAGGGTCTGTCCAAAACATGCCCTACCTCCAGAGGGTCTATTCAATACATGCCCTACCTCCAGAGAGTCTGTCCAATACATGCCCTACCGCCAGAGTGTCTATTCAATACATGCCCTCCCTCCAGAGTGTCTATTCAATACACGCCCTACCTCCAGAGTGTCTATTTTATCCAATACATGCCCTACCTCCAGAGAGTCTGTCCAATACATGCCCTGCCTCTAGAGTGTCTGTCCAATACATGCCATGCCTCCAGAGTGTCTGTCCAATACGTGCCCTACCCCCAGAGTGTCTGTCCAATACATGTCCTACCTCCAGAGTGTCTGTCCAATCCATGCCCTACCTCCAGAGTGTCTATTTTATCCAATACATGCCCTACCTCCAGAGGGGCTGTCCAATACATGCCCTACCTCTAGAGTGTCTTTCCAATACATGCCCTACCTCCAGGGTGTCTGTCCTATACATGCCCTACATCCAGAGTATCTGTCCAATACATGGCCTACCTCCAGAGTGTCTGTCCAATGCATGCCCTACCTCCAGAGTGCCTGTCCAATACATGCCCTACCCCCAGAGTGTCTGTCCAATATATGTCCCAACCCCCAGAGTGTCTGTGCAATACATGCCCTACCTTCAGAGGGTCTGTCCAATACATGTCCCAACCCTCAGAGGGGCTGTCCAACATATGTCCCAACCCCCAGAGTGTCTGTCCAATATATGCCCTGCCTCCAGAGTGTCTGTCCAACATATGTACCAACCCTCCGAGTGTCTGTCCAATATATGTCCCAAACCTCAGAGTGTCTGTCCAATATATGCCCTGCCTCCAGAGTGTCTGTTCAATACATGGCCTGCATCCAGAGTGTCTGTTCAATACATGCCCTACCTCTACAGTGTCTGTCCAATACATGCCCTGCATCCAGAATGTCCTACCTCCAGAGTGTCTGTCCACTACATGCCCTGCATCCAGAGTGTCTGTCCAATACATGTCCTACCTCCAGAGTGTCTGTCCACTACATGCCCTGCATCCAGAGTGTCTGTCCAATATATTGTCTGTCCAATATATTCCCTGCCCCCAGAGTGTCTGTCCAATACATGGCCTACCTCCAGAGTGTCTGTCCACTACATGCCCTGCATCCAGAGTGTCTGTTCAATACATGGCCTGCATCCAGAGTGTCTGTTCAATACATGCCCTTTTCTATTCGAGGTATTTGTTACATATTTCCCCTGCCTCCAGAGTGTCTGTCTAATATATTCCCTGCCTCCAGAGTGTCTGCCCAATATATTCCCTGCCTCCAGAGTGTCTGTCCAATATATGTCCCAACCCTCAGAGTGTCTGTCCAATACATGCCCTACCTTCAGAGTGTCTGTCCAATACATGCCCTACCTCCAGAGTGTCTATTCAATACATGCCCTACCTCCAGAGTGTCTGTCCAATACATGCCCTACCTTCAGAGTGTCTGTCCAATACATGCCCTACCTCCAGAGTGTCTGTCCAATACATGCCCTGCCTCCAGAGTGTCTGTCCAATATATGTCTCAACCCTCAGAGAGTTTGTTCAATATTTGTCTTGCCTTCATAGTGTCTGCTCCCTCTTTTGGAGTGTCTGTGTAATATATGTCCCAACCTCAGAGTGTCTGTCCAATACATGTCCCAACCCTCAGAGAGTTCGTTCAATATATGTCTTGCCTTCAAAGTGTCTGTTCCATCTTTTGGAGTGTCTGTGTAATATACGCCCTGATTCAGAGTGTCTGTGTAATATACGCCCTGATTTCAGAGTGTCTGTGTAATATACGCCCTGATTTCAGAGTGTCTGTGTAACATACGCCCTGATTTCAGAGTGCCTGTGTAATATACGCCCTGATTTCAGAGTGTCTGTGTAATATACGCCCTGATTTCAGAGTGTTTGTCAATTTGTGTAAATGTAACGTTACAAAATCACTAGCACTACAAAAATATTCCATATGATCTCTCTACAAAGTTGGCAGGTTATGCTTAAACGATGTTCAATCAAGAAAAAAAAATGAAATACTTATTCAAAAGGCATTTGGAAACACAAATGCCATATGCAAGAAAAATCCTGATCTTCTTAAAAAACTAGACAAAATCAAATATAATGGAAAAAAGAGACATATGCAGTGAGGAAAGAATATAGAAATATTGAAAGGACTAATTTTGAACAAGAACTATTATCCCAAATTACAAAACAGCTTGGATGCTGTTTGTCAAAATAATGAAATCGATTGGATTAAAGTTTCGACTTATTTAAACTTAGTATATTCATTATTGAAAAATACTAAACTGAAAACGTTTCAAAGAAAGGCACTATTTTATGAGCTTAGTGTAACCTCCACGTAAAGAGACGTTAACCGGAAACAAATAGATGCACATTTGTTTAACATTTTAAAAATTTAAACAAAGACGGACCGATATGTGATGGGTTGTCTGAGAAAATATTATGCGTTACACAATTTGAGAAAATATTTTGCAAAAAGGTAACTGAAAATATCTTTGATTGACTGGTTCTTAAAATATTTCAAATCCATAAGTTTTTAAGTCAAACCACTAAACGATATTATCTGAACCTATTGCAACCAAAAAAGAGAAAATAACATGCAACATGTATATTTGTGGAATAATATCGAATTATACCGAAAGATCCGGGATTTCTGTTCGGTTCTGGAGGAAAATTTAACAATGGAATTATTAATTGATACAAAAGATATACTTAAAATTGGCATGTTTTCCATTGCACGAAGAAACATTTTATGACAATAGACAACATTTAATATTTTGAATTGAAGTAAAAGTACACACTTTACATACGAAGAGTTGAGGTATACATGATCTGTATCTTCCTACTAACTATTCTTAAGAAGTAACAGGGGGTTATGTCGTAGTTTTTGTACCATACTTTCGTAAAGCTAAGGATATATGTTACTCAATACATTTCCCAGCAGGGTAACCAACTTTAACGTGTACTAGTGCCCTAGGTGGCAAATGGAGGTCATCCTTTGACAACAGGGAGGTTAAAGGGGTATAAGGTCCAGATGCATTGTGTCGAAAGGGATGTGGAAACCTAGAAGTAGGGGTTTAGTTTGTTACCTACATGTATCGAGTGGTCAGGAGCTATGCATTTTTAATGCCGAACTTCTGGTAAATTGGACAGAAAAGGAATCAAATGACTATTCGATCAAGAAGCCTTTTGTAGGAAGTGCTTTTAATATCTCAGTTTGTGATGTGAAAAACATGTTAAGTCCTAGAGTAATTGTGAAAGCTAAATTAACACCTAGGATATACTATTGAATACCATCAATGTATCGGGTATATAAAATATCGAATTATTCATGTATGTGTCTAACAGGAAGGGGTTTGAATTCTTTACTCACCTGGTAAAACAGGGTGTTAAAGCCTAGATTATTATCGCTGAGATACTTATCAATACCCGGACTTGCATTATCTGTTTTGTAATATGCATGTAAAGCACTATACATCTCTCCACGTAGATCCCAGTCAAACTGCAAAACAAAACGACATGGTAGAAATTTAAAACGAATTATATAAATACATTTTCTACACATAAGCCACGGAATTTTTCAGTTTTTCAAAGGGCAAGAAAAGCAAGCATCCTTCGGTTGAGAAAATTTTGATTCAATAATTTCGCTTTGGTTTGTCTTGCTACATTTTCTATACTCATACTCATACTCATTGTGACTTAAGAGGTACACAATGATAAAGATAACACCTCAAAATGAAAAAAACGATTGAGTCACACCGTGATAATACTCACTGAAACTCGGACTGGAATCCACAATAAAATGGAAATCAGTTTGAACAGCAGGGACGTCACTAAAGCGAGTACTGCCTAAAATAAAATAATACTTGATAGTGAAAAAACCTACCGCGAAGTAAAAATCATTAATACTAAAGCTATATTTATAAAGAGATCTATAACAAAGTACCGGAAGGATAATTCAAATGATTCCAGTAGGAACGTAACAAATAGGTCAATTTTCATCAACAAAGTGCTGTTTATAGCAGTAGACAGCCTAACAGTAGACATTGTACATTATAAATAATACAGGTAAATATAACACGAACTATCTATAACATCCGGGTAAATATAGCACGAACTATCTATAACATACAGGTAAATATAACTCGAACTATCTATAACATACAGGTAAATATAGCACGAACTATCTATAACACACAGGTAAATATAGCACGAACTATCTATAACATACAGGTTAATATAACACGAACTATCTATAACATACAGGTTAATATAGCATGAACTATCTATAACATACAGGTTGATACAACACAAACTATCTATAACATACAGCTAAATATAGCACGAACTATCTATAACATACAGGTAAATAAAGCACGAACTATCTATAACATACAGGTAAATATAGCACGAACTATCCATAACATACAGGTAAATATAACACGAACTATCTATAACATTCTGATAAATATAGCACGAACTATCTATATCATACAGGTAAATAAAGCACGGACTATCTATAACATACAGGGAAATATAACTCGAACTATCTATAACATACTGGTAAATATAGCACGAACTATCTAAAACATACAGGTAAAAATAGCCCGAACTATCTATAACATACTGGTAAATATAGCACGAACTATCTATAACATACAGGTAAATATAGCACGAACTATCTATAACATACATGTTAATATAACACGAACTATCTATAACATACAGGTTAATATAGCACGAACTATCTATAACATACTGGTAAATATAGCACGAACTATCTACAACATACAGGTAAATATAGCACGAACTATCTATAACATACAGGTAAATATAGCATGAACTATCTATCACATACAGGTTGATACAACACAAACTATCTATAACATACAGCTAAATATAGCTCGAACTATCTATAACATACAGGCAAATATAGCACGAACTATCTATAACATACCGGTAAATATAGCACGAACTGTCTATAACATACAGGTAAATATATCACGAACTATCTATAACATACAGGTAAATATAGCACGAACTATCTATAACATACTGGTTAATATAACACAAACTATCTATAACATACAAATAAATATAGCACGAACTATCCATAACATACAGGTAAATATATCACGAACAACCTATAACATACTGGTTAATATAGCACGAACTGTCTATAACATACAGGTAAATATAGCACGAACTATCTATAACATACTGGTTAATATAACACGAAATATCTATAACATACAGGTAAATATAGCACGAACTATCTATAACATACAGGTTAATATAACACGAACTATCTATAACATACAGGTAAATATAGCACGAACTATCTATAACATACTGGTTAATATAACACGAAATATCTATAACATACAGGTAAATATAGCACGAACTATCTATAACATACAGGTAAATATAGCACGAACTATCTATAACATACAGGTAAATATAGCACGAACTATCTATAACATACAGGTAAATATAGCACGAACTATCTATAACATACAGGTAAATATAGCACGAACTATCTATAACATACAGGTAAATATAGCACGAACTATCTATAACATACAGGTAAATATAGCACGAACTATCTATAACATACAGGTAAATATAGCACGAACTATCTATAACATACAGGTAAATATAGCACGAACTATCTATAACATACAGGTAAATATAGCACGAACTATCTATAACATACAGGTAAATATAGCACGAACTATCTATAACATACAGGTAAATATAGCACGAACTATCTATAACATACAGGTAAATATAGCACGAACTATCTATAACATACAGGTAAATATAGCACGAACTATCTATAACATACAGGTAAATATAGCACGAACTATCTATAACATACAGGTAAATATAGCACGAACTATCTATAACATACAGGTAAATATAGCACGAACTATCTATAACATACAGGTAAATATAGCACGAACTATCTATAACATACAGGTAAATATAGCACGAACTATCTATAACATACAGGTAAATATAGCACGAACTATCTATAACATACAGGTAAATATAGCACGAACTATCTATAACATACAGGTAAATATAGCACGAACTATCTATAACATACAGGTAAATATAGCACGAACTATCTATAACATACAGGTAAATATAGCACGAACTATCTATAACATACAGGTAAATATAGCACGAACTATCTATAACATACAGGTAAATATAGCACGAACTATCTATAACATACAGGTAAATATAGCACGAACTATCTATAACATACAGGTAAATATAGCACGAACTATCTATAACATACAGGTAAATATAGCACGAACTATCTATAACATACAGGTAAATATAGCACGAACTATCTATAACATACAGGTAAATATAGCACGAACTATCTATAACATACAGGTAAATATAGCACGAACTATCTATAACATACAGGTAAATATAGCACGAACTATCTATAACATACAGGTAAATATAGCACGAACTATCTATAACATACAGGTAAATATAGCACGAACTATCTATAACATACAGGTAAATATAGCACGAACTATCTATAACATACAGGTAAATATAGCACGAACTATCTATAACATACAGGTAAATATAGCACGAACTATCTATAACATACAGGTAAATATAGCACGAACTATCTATAACATACAGGTAAATATAGCACGAACTATCTATAACATACAGGTTAATATAGCACGAACTATCTATAACATACAGGTAAATATAGCACGAACTATCTATAACATACAGGTAAATATAGCACGAACTATCTATAACATACAGGTAAATATAGCACGAACTATCTATAACATACAGGTAAATATAGCACGAACTATCTATAACATACAGGTAAATATAGCACGAACTATCTATAACATACAGGTAAATATAGCACGAACTATCTATAACATACAGGTAAATATAGCACGAACTATCTATAACATACAGGTAAATATAGCACGAACTATCTATAACATACAGGTAAATATAGCACGAACTATCTATAACATACAGGTAAATATAGCACGAACTATCTATAACATACAGGTAAATATAGCACGAACTATCTATAACATACAGGTAAATATATCACGAACTATCTATAACATACAGGTAAATATAGCACGAACTATCTATAACATACAGGTAAATATAGCACGAACTATCTATAACATACAGGTAAATATAGCACGAACTATCTATAACATACAGGTAAATATAGCACGAACTATCTATAACATACAGGTAAATATAGCACGAACTATCTATAACATACAGGTAAATATAGCACGAACTATCTATAACATACAGGTAAATATAGCACGAACTATCTATAACATACAGGTAAATATAGCACGAACTATCTATAACATACAGGTAAATATAGCACGAACTATCTATAACATACAGGTAAATATAGCACGAACTATCTATAACATACAGGTAAATATAGCACGAACTATCTATAACATACAGGTAAATATATCACGAACTATCTATAACATACAGGTAAATATAGCACGAACTATCTATAACATACAGGTAAATATAGCACGAACTATCTATAACATACAGGTAAATATAGCACGAACTATCTATAACATACAGGTAAATATAGCACGAACTATCTATAACATACAGGTAAATATAGCACGAACTATCTATAACATACAGGTAAATATAGCACGAACTATCTATAACATACAGGTAAATATAGCACGAACTATCTATAACATACAGGTAAATATAGCACGAACTATCTATAACATACAGGTAAATATAGCACGAACTATCTATAACATACAGGTAAATATAGCACGAACTATCTATAACATACAGGTAAATATAGCACGAACTATCTATAACATACAGGTAAATATAGCACGAACTATCTATAACATACAGGTAAATATAGCACGAACTATCTATAACATACAGGTAAATATAGCACGAACTATCTATAACATACAGGTAAATATAGCACGAACTATCTATAACATACAGGTAAATATAGCACGAACTATCTATAACATACAGGTAAATATAGCACGAACTATCTATAACATACAGGTAAATATAGCACGAACTATCTATAACATACAGGTAAATATAGCACGAACTATCTATAACATACAGGTAAATATAGCACGAACTATCTATAACATACAGGTAAATATAGCACGAACTATCTATAACATACAGGTAAATATAGCACGAACTATCTATAACATACAGGTAAATATAGCACGAACTATCTATAACATACAGGTAAATATAGCACGAACTATCTATAACATACAGGTAAATATAGCACGAACTATCTATAACATACAGGTAAATATAGCACGAACTATCTATAACATACAGGTTAATATAGCACGAACTATCTATAACATACAGGTAAATATAGCTCGAACTATCTATAACATACAGGTAAATATAGCACGAACTATCTATACCATACATGTTAATATAGCACGAACTATCTATAACATACAGGTAAATATAGCACATATAGCACTAACTATGTATAACATACTGGTTAATATAACACGAAATATCTATAACATACAGGTAAATATGGCAGGTACTATCAATGACATACAGGTTAATATAGCAGGACCTATCTATAGCATACATGTTATTTCGGTACAGGGAGTTCCTTATATAATCAGGGTAATTTAGGTCAATTGTTGTAGAGGGAGTATTATCTTTAACATACATGTTAATTTCGGTAGAGGGCGTACTATCGTTTAACATACAGGTCAATTTTGGTAGAGGGAGTATTATCTTTAACATACAGGTTAATTTCTGCAGAGGGAGTACTATTTCTAACATACAGGTCAATTTCGGTAGAGGGAGTACTATCTTTCAATATAAAGGTCAATTTCTGTAGAAGGAGTATTATCTTTAACATACAGGTCAATTTTGGTAGAGGGAGTATTATCTTTTACCATACAGATCAATTTCGGTAGAGGAGGTATTATCATTAACATACAGGTTAATTTCTGTGGAGGGAGTATTATCATTAACATACAGGTCAATTTTAGTAGAGGAAGTATTATCGTTTAACATACAGGTCAATTTCGGTAGAGGGAGTACTATCTTTCAAAATAAAGGTCAATTTCTGTAGAAGGAGAATTATCTTTGACATACAGGTCAATTTTGGTAGAGGGAGTATTATCTTTTAACATACAGGTCAATTTCGGTAGAGGGAGTATTATCTTTAGCATACAGGTCAATTTCGGTAGAGGGAGTGCTATCTTTCAAAATAAAGGTCAATTTCTGTAGAAGGAGAATTATCTTTGACATACAGGTCAATTTTAGTAGAGGGAGTATTATCTTTAAACATACAGGTCAATTTCGGTAGAAGGAGTATTATCTTTCAAAAAAAGGTCAATTTCTGTAGAAGGAGTTTTATCTTTGACATACAGGTCAATTTTGGTAGAGGGAGTATTATCTTTTAACATACAGGTCAATTTCGGTAGAGGGAGTATTATCTTTAGCATACAGGTCAATTTCGGTAGAGGGAGTGCTATCTTTCAAAACAAAGGTCAATTTCTGTAGAAGGAGTATTATCTTTAACATACAGGTCAATTTTGGTAGAGGGAGTATTAATCTTTAACATAGAGGTCAATTTCTGTAGAGGGAGTATTATCTTTTAACATACAGGTCAATTTTGGTAGAGGGAGTATTATCTTTTAACATTCAGGTCAATTTCTGTAGAGGGAGTATTATCTTTTAACATACAGGTCAATTTTGATAGAGGGAGTATTATCTTTAACATACAGGTCAGTTTTGATAGAAGTAGTATTATCTTTAGCATACAGGTCAATTTCTGTAGAAGGAGTATTATCTTTAACATACAGGTCAATTTTGGTAGAAGGAGTACTATCTTTTAACATACAGGTCAATTTTGGTAGAGGGAGTATTATCTTTAACATACAGGTCAGTTTTGATAGAAGTAGTATTATCTTTAGCATACAGGTCAATTTCGGGAGAGGGAGTATTATCTTTAACATACAGGTCAATTTTGGTAGAGAGAGTACTATCTTTTAACATATAGGTCAATTTCTGTAGAAGGAGTATGATGTTTAACATACAGGTCAATTTGGTAGAAGGAGTATTATCTTTAACATACAGCTCAATTTCTGTAGAGGCAGTATTCTTTTAACATACAGGTCAATTTCGATAGAGGGAGTACTATCTTTAACATACAGGTCAATCTTTGTAGAATGAGTATTATCTTTAACATACAGGTCAATTTTGGTAGAGGGAGTACTATCTTTTAACATAAAGGTCAATTTAGGTAGAGGGATAACTATCTTTTAACATACAGGTCAATTTTTGTAGAAGGAGTATTATCTTTAACATACAGGCCAATTATGGTAGAGGGATTACTTTCTTTTAACATACAGGTCAATATTGGTAGAGGGAGTACTAATTTTAACATACAGGTCAATTTCGGTAGAAGGAGTACTATCTTTCAACATACAGGTCAATTTTGGTAGAGGGAGTATTATCTTTAAATAAAAGGTTAATATTTTTCAAGGGAGGACTCTCTATAACACACAGGTCAATTGCTGTAGAGTGAGTACTGTCTATAACATACAAGTCAATTTGTGTAGAAGGAGTACTATCTATAACATTCAGGTACATTTGTGTAGAAAGAGTACTATCTATAACATACAGGTACATTTGTGTAGAATGAGTACTATCTATAACATACAGGTACATTTGTGTAGAATGAGTATTATCTATTACATACAGATCAATTTCGGTAGAATGAGTATTGTCTATAACATACAGGTACATTTGTGTAGAATGAGTATTATCTATAACATACATGTACATTGGTGTAGAATGAGTACTATCTATAACATACAGGTACATTTGTGTAGAATGAGTATTATCTATAACATACAGGTACATTTGTGAAGAAGGAGTACTATCTATACCATACAGGTACATTTGTGTAGAAGGAGTATTATCTATAACATACAGGTACATTTGTGTAGAAGGAGTACTATCTATAACATACAGGTACATTTGTGTAAAAAGAGTATTATCTATAACATACAGGTACATTTGTGTAGGAGTATTATCTATAACATACAGGTACATTTGTGTAGAAGGAGTTTTATCTATAACATACAGTTACATTTGTGTAGGAGTATTATCTATAACACACAGGTACATTTGTGTAGAGGGATTACTATCTATAACATACAGGTACATTTGTGTAGAAGGAGTGTTATCTATAACATACAGGTACATTTGTGTAGAGGGAGTACTACCTATAACATACAGGTACATTTGTGTAGAAGGAGTATTATCTATAACATACAGGTACATTTGTGTAGAGGGAGTACTATCTATAACATACATGTACATTGAAGCAGAGAGGGTACTTTCTTTACCGTACAGTTTATTTCTGTAGAGGTCGTACTATCTAAAACATACAGGTTATTATAGCAAGAACCATATATAACATACAGGTTAGTTTCGGTAGAAGAAGTATTATGTACAACATACAGGTAAGTTTCGGTAGAAGAAGTATTATGTATAACATACAGGTTAGTTTCTGTAGATGGAGTACTATCTTTATCATGCAGGTTAATTAACGTAGAGGAAATACTATATATAACATTCAGGTCTATCAAATTAAAGCGAGTACTGTCTTTAACCGATGAAACATGTTTATCTTCACCGCTGTACCTACCACGTAGTACATTCGTGCCACTCCAAGAAATACGCTCACGATTCCAAGACAGAAGATGACGAAGGAAACGCAGCCGGTACTGACCATGACCTTAGACATTATAGAGACCCATGACGTCACATCTTTTCCAAAGATATAGATATGCGTAAAGAGAACTTTGATGTCTTTATGTCCCAGTATATCATCAAAGTAAAGACGAGTCCCAGTAATCAAAATCCCCAATGAGATCAACTGTAAAAGTAAAGACGTCATCGATGTATGGTTTAATGACATATGCTAATTTGTCTGTCAATCGTTAACAGCAGTAACATGTATGTTGACGTAGGGAATTATGTGTACAAATAGAAATGTATATTATCACTCGGATAAATATGTTTAACACCGATATTTGGCAATCCTCAAAACGGAGCTTATATAAATAAGGTTTTATGTTGAAATTGAGTTTATGTTCATCAATATTAATTGCTTTCTTCAATTGACGTTAATCATGTACCTTCAGGAGTATATATATCTCATTCATAATAATTAATCTTTGTAGTATTAACATACTATATATCTCAATAATAAATTTTGTCTTTCGCACGTAAATTAAGGTATTGGTAAACTGATGGAATTACTATAATTTTAGTCAGGGGTATATTAAAAAATAGCATATCAGCAAATATGTTTGATATTATATATAGTCTTAATTATGTAAATGTTGACGATCACAATATAAAACAATCCAGTTTACTTCAATTGAACGCTGTTGAACTTCATATATATACACCATTTTACATCATGAGATTTTTGTGGAACTCCATGAAATGAGCATAAGTCTAAGTTATTTTGTTGTTCTAACCAATGCCAATGATAGAATATAATAGGAAATCAATATAATAATCATCAGTCTAAGTTACTTGAGTGTTGTTTTATCCAATGTCAATGATAGCATATAATAGGAACTCAATATAATAATCATCAGTCTAAGTTATTTGAGTGTTGTTTTATCCAATGTCAATGATAGAATATAATAGAAAATCAATATAATTATCATCAGTCTAAGTTATTTGAGTGTTGTTTTATCCAATGCCAATGATAGAATATAATAGAAACTCAATATAATAATCATCAGTCTAAGTTATTTGAGTGTTGTTTTACCCAATGTCAATGATAGAATATAATAGGAAATCAATATAATAATCATCAGTCTAAGTTATTTGAGTGTTGTTTTACCCAATGTCAATGATAGAATATAATAGGAAATCAATATAATAATCATCAGTCTAAGTTATTTGAGTGTTGTTTTACCCAATGTCAATGATAGAATATAATAGGAAATCAATATAATAATCATCAGTCTAAGTTATTTGAGTGTTGTTTTACCCAATGTCAATGATAGAATATAATAGGAAATCAATATAATAATCATCAGTCTAAGTTATTTGAGTGTTGTTTTACCCAATGTCAATGATAGAATATAATAGGAAATCAATATAATAATCATCAGTCTAAGTTATTTGAGTGTTGTTTTACCCAATGTCAATGATAGAATATAATAGGAAATCAATATAATAATCATCAGTCTAAGTTATTTGAGTGTTGGTTTACCCAATGCCAATGATAGAATATAATAAGAAATCAATATAATAATCATCAGTCTAAGTTATTTGAGTGTTGTTTCACCCAATGTCAATGATAGAATATAATAGGAACTCAATATAATAATCATCAGTCTAAGTTATTTGAGTCTTGTTTTACCCAATGCCAATGAGAGATATAATAGGAACTCAATATAATAATCATCAGTCTAAGTTATTTGAGTGTTGTTTTACCCAATGCCAATGAAAGATATAATAGGAACTCAATATAATAATCATCAGTCTAAGTTATTTGAGTGTTGTTTTTACCCAATGCCAATGATAGAATATATTACAAACAAGTCTAGGCCATGTCATCGTAGTGTAACTCATACGTACCAATCCAAATATGATGAATACTGCAAAACCTATTACAAGACATCGGTTGTTCCTGGAATTATCAATATCTTAATCGTTAACGTGATCGCAAATAACAATAAACACGTAAGGATAAAACATCAAGGTAATGGTATGATAAACAGGATAACTATCGTATTATTCAATATAATAGTTACTGTATGGCAAAACATGGTAGCTATTGTATCATACATTATAATAACTACGGTATGATATAGATGGTAGCTATTGTATCATACATTATAATATCTATGGTATGATACAACATGGTAGCTATTGTATCATACATTATAATAACTACGGTATGATATAGCATGGTAGCTATTGTAAGATACATTATAATAACTACGGCATGACACAACATGGTAGCTATTGTATCACACATTATAATAACTACGGTATGAAACAACATGGTAGCTATTGTATCACACATTATATTAACTACGGCATGATACAACATGGTAGCTATTGTATCACACATTATAATAACTACGGCATAATACAACATGGTAGCTATTGTATCACACATTATAATAACTACGGCATGATACAACATGGTAGCTATTGTATCACACATTATAATAAGTACGGCATGATACTACATGGTAGCTATTGTATCATACATTATAATAACAACGGTATGATACAGCATTTATCACACATTATAATAACTACGCCACGATACAACATGGTAGCAAATGTATCACACATTATAATAACTACGGTATGATACAGTACACTTATTGTATCATACATTATAATAACTACGGTATGGCAAAACATGGTATCTATTGTATCAAACATTATAATAACTACGGTATGATACAACATGGTAGCCATTGTATCACACATTATAATAACTACTGTATGATACAACATGGTACAGTGCAGCTATTGTATCACATATTATAATAACTACTGTATGATACAACATGGTACAGTGCAGCTATTGTATCACATATTAAAATAACTACTGTATGATACAACATGGTAGCTATTGTATCATACATTATAATAACTTCTTTATGATACAACATGGTAGCTATTGTATCACACATTATAATAACTACGGTATGATACAGAACAAAATTATAATCATACATTGTATTAACTACGGCATGGTACAACATGGTAGCTACTGTATCACACATTATAATAACTACGGTATGATACAACATGGTAGCCATTGTATCACACATTATAATAACTACGGCATGATACAACATGGTAGCTATAGCATCACACATTATAATAACTACGGTATGAAACAGCAAAATTATTGTATCACAAATTATAATAACTACGGTAGGATACAGCATGGTAACTATTGTATCATACATTATAATAACTTCGGTATGATACAGCACAATTATTGTATCACAAATTATAATAACTACGGTAAGATACAACATGGTAGCTATTGTATCACACATTAAAAGAACGACGGCATGATACAACATGGTAGCTATAGCATCACACATTATAATAACTACGGTATGATCCTGCGCAATTATTGTATTACACATTATAATAACTACGGTATGATCCTGCGCAATTATTGTATTACACATTATAATAACTACGGTATGATACTGCGCAATTATTGTATTACACATTATAATAACTATGGTATGATACAGCAAAATTATTGTATCACAAATTATAATAACTATGGTAAGATACAACATGGTAGCTATTGTAACATACATTATAATAACTACGGTATGAAACAGCAAAATTATTGTATCACAGATTATAATAACTACGGCATGGTACAACATGGTAGCTATTGTATCTTACATTATAATAACTACTGTATGAAACAGAAAAATTATTGTATCACACATTATAATAACTACGGCATGATACAGCACAATTATTGTATCACAAATTATAATAACTCCGGCATGGTACAACATGGTAGCTATTGTATCTTACATTATAATAACTACTGTATGAAACAGAAAAATTATTGTATCACACATTATAATAACTACGGCATGATACAGCACAATTATTGTATCACAAAGTATAATAACTACGGTAAGATACAACATGGTAGTTATTGTTATCATACATTGTAATAACTACGGTATGATACAACATGGTAGCCATTGTATCACACATTATAATAACTACGGTATGATCCTGCGCAATTATTGTATTACACATTATAATAACTACGGTATGAAACAGCACAATTATTGTAACACAAATTATAATAACTACGGTAAGATACAACATGGTAGCGATTGTTATCATACATTGTAATAACTACGGTATGATACAACATGGTAGCCATTGTATCACACATTATAATAACTACGGCATGGTACAACATGGTAGCTATTGTATCATACATTATAATAACTACGGTATGATACAGCACAATTATTGTATCACAAAGTATAATAACTACGGTAAGATACAACATGGTAGCTATTGTTATCATACATTGTAATAACTACGGTATGATACAACATGGTAGCTACTGTATCGTACATTATAATTACTACGGCATTATACAACATGGTAGCTATTGTATTACACATTATAATTACTCCGGTATGATACATCACAATTATTTTATCACAAATTATAATAACTACGGTAGGATACAGCATGGTAGCTATTGTATCATGCCGTAGTTATTATAATGTATCATACATTATAATAACTACGGCACGGCAAAACATTGTATCTAATTATCACACATTATAATAACTACGATGTGTAATACAATAATTGCGCAGGATCATACCGTAGTTATTATCACACATTATAATAACTTCGGTATGATACAGCATAATGTTTGATACAATAATTATGCTGTATCATACCGTAGTTATTATAATGTATCATACATTATAATAACTACGGTATGGCAAAACATGGTATCTAATTATCACACATTATAATAACTACGGTATGATACAGCATAATTATTGTATCAAACATTATAATAACTACGGCATGATACAACATGGTAGCTATTGTATAACACATTAAAAGAACGACGGCATGATACAACATGGAAGCTATTGTATCACACATTATAATAACTACGGTATGCTGCAACATGGTAGCCATTGTATCACACATTATAATAACTACGGGATGATACATCACAATTATTTTATCACACATTATAATAACTACGGTATGCTACAACATGGTAGCCATTGTATCACACATTATAATAACTACGGCATGGTACAACATGGTAGCTACTGTATCACACATTATAATAACTACGGCATGGTACAACATGGTAGCTACTGGATCACACATTATAATAACTACGGTATGAAACAGCAAAATTATTGTATCACACATTATAATAACTACGGCATGGTACAACATGGTAGCTATTGTATCATAGATTATAATAACTACGGCATGATACAACATGGTGGCTATTGTATTACACATTATAATTACTACGATATGATACATCACAATTATTTTATCACACATTATAATTACTACGGTATGAAACAGCACAATTATTGTATCACCAATAATAATAACTAGGGTAAGATACAACATGGTAGCTATTGTATCATAGATTATAATAACTACGGCATGATACAACATGGTGGCTATTGTATTACACATTATAATTACTACGGTATGAAACAGCACAATTATTGTATCATACATTATAATAACTACGGGATGATACATCACAATTATTTTATCACACATTATAATTACTACGGTATGCTACAACATGGTAGCCATTGTATCACACATTATAATAACTACGGTATGATCCTGCGCAATTATTGTATTACACATTATAATAACTATGGTATGATACAGCACAATTATTGTATCACAAACTATAATAACTACGGTAGGATACAGCATGGTAGCTATTGTATTACACATTATAATAACTATGGTATGATACAGCACAATTATTGTATCACAAACTATAATAACTACGGTAGGATACAGCATGGGAGCTATTGTATCATACATTATAATATCTACGGTATGATACATCACAATTATTTTATCACACATTATAATTACTACGGTATGAAACAGCACAATTATTGTATCACAAATTATAATAACTACGGTAGGATACAGCATGGTAGCTATTGTATTACACATTATAATTACTACGATATGATACATCACAATTATTTTATCACACATTATAATTACTACGGTATGAAACAGCACAATTATTGTATCACCAATAATAATAACTAGGGTAAGATACAACATGGTAGCTATTGTATCACGCATTATAATAATTACGGTAGAATACAGAACAATTATTGTATCATACATTGTAATAACTACGGCATGGTATAACATGGTAGCTACTGTATCACACATTATAATTACTACGGTATGCTACAACATGGTAGCCATTGTATCACACATTATAATAACTACGGGATGATACATCACAATTATTTTATCACACATTATAATAACTACGGTATGAAACAGCAAAATTATTGTATCACAAATTATAATAACTTCGGTAGGATACAGCATGGTAGCTATTGTATCATTCATTATAATAACTACTGTATGATACATCACAACTATTTTATCACACATTATAATTACTACGGTATGAAACAGCACAATTATTGTATCACAAATAATAATAACTACGGTAAGATACAACATGGTAGCTATTGTATCATAGATTATAATAACTACGGCATGATACAACATGGTAGCTATTGTATCATAGATTATAATAACTACGGCATGATACAACATGGTGGCTATTGTATTACACATTATAATTACTACGATATGATACATCACAATTATTTTATCACACATTATAATTACTACGGTATGAAACAGCACAATTATTGTATCACAAATAATAATAACTACGGTAAGATACAACATGGTAGCTATTGTATCACGCATTATAATAATTACGGTAGAATACAGAACAATTATTGTATCATACATTGTAATAACTACGGCATGGTATAACATGGTAGCTACTGTATCACACATTATAATTACTACGGTATGCTACAACATGGTAGCCATTGTATCACACATTATAATAACTACGGTATGATACAGCACAATTATTGTATCACAAATTATAATAACTTCGGTAGGATACAGCATGGTAGCTATTGTATCATACATTATAATATCTACGGTATGATACATCACAATTATTTTATCACACATTATAATAACTACGGTATGCTGCAACATGGTAGCCATTGTATCACACATTATAATAACTACGGGATGATACATCACAATTATTTTATCACACATTATAATAACTACGGTATGCTACAACATGGTAGCCATTGTATCACACATTATAATAACTACGGGATGATACATCACAATTATTTTATCACACATTATAATTACTACGGTATGCTACAACATGGTAGCCATTGTATCACACATTATAATAACTACGGCATGGTACAACATGGTAGCTACTGTATCACACATTATAATAACTACGGTATGCTACAACATGGTAGCCATTGTATCACACATTATAATAACTACGGGATGATACATCACAATTATTTTATCACACATTATAATTACTACGGTATGCTACAACATGGTAGCCATTGTATCACACATTATAATAACTACGGCATGGTACAACATGGTAGCTATTGTATCATAGATTATAATAACTACGGCATGATACAACATGGTAGTTATTGTATCATACATTATAATAACTACGGTAGGATACAGCATGGTAGCTATTGTATCATACATTATAATATCTACGGTATGATACATCACAATTATTTTATCACACATTATAATAACTACGGTATGATACAACATGGTAGCTATTGTATCATACATTATAATAACTACTGTATGATACATCACAACTATTTTATCACACATTATAATTACTACGGTATGATACTGCGCAATTATTGTACCCCCAATTATAATAACTACGGCATGACACAACATGGTAGCTATTGTATTACACATTATAATTACTACGGAATGATACAGCACATTTATTTTATCACAAATTATAATAACTACGGGATGATACATCACAATACAACATGGTAGCTATTGTATCACACATTAAAATAACTACGGTATGATACTGCGAAATTATTGTATCACACATTAAAAGAACGACGGCATGATACAACATGGTAGCTATTGTATCATACATTATAATAACTACGGTAAGATACAACATGGTAGCTATTGTATCACACATTATAATAATTACGGTAGAATACAGAACAATTATTGTATCATACATTATAATAACTACGGTATGATACAACTCTATGATGCAATTGCTATGGTTTTATGCAAGATATTTTTTCATTTCGAGTAGCCCTACTCTTTTTGTCGTTTCTATGAGGAGTTTTATTTATAAGGATATAGGTACTATTGTAAGTATGTATCATTATATAGTCTGAGAATACTAGTTCTACCATTTTGTGATTACGCACGCGTAAAATAGTTCTTAAAAATAAAATATAACTTTACTCAAAACGTAACCTGGCACTGAAATCGATGTGGCTTTGATATTTTTATTCATATAAAATACTTTTTTTCTGAAAAGATGGAAACAAATTAACTAGAAATGATAAACTGTGATCTGTAATTGTATAAACGATTAGCTTATAGAAATGGCAGACTTACTGACATAATTGTCACGTGTGACCTAGACAAACTTAGGATGGTACACTTTGTATAATCCAATAAGATAATTATTGTATTGTTCAATCTGATAAGTTTAGTCCGATACCACTAAGCTTCTTCCATATCACATGAACTTTAACGCTAAGAATATGACAATTACCTTGCGAAGTCCTTTAGTTCTTGCCATGTTGATGATTCCGTGTTACCAGAGTCTGTCTGAAATCCATACTTGTATAGATAGCAAATGTTGAACACCTGCAATATCAAAAAGAGTTCAAGGTAGGCGTTAAAGATCCTAGTCACATGACATGATGGATTGATTAAAAATATGAAAGAGCGAAGATATTCAATGATATTTGGTTCATTTACAGGTACATTTCATACTTATTCCAGTTTTACTAAAAGTAAAGGGAATAGATAAGAAATGTACCTGTATATGATATGTAGCTGGAGTTTTTATGTCGAGACGTATGTAAAACATCACAATCACGTGTAACGTATGTAAAACATCACAATCACGTGTAACCATTATATTTGGCGTCACAATCACCTTTATATAATCACTTTTCAGATATCAGTTTTTCTTACCTTCAAAGAATAAAATTATCAATTTTATCATAATGATAACTTCCATATTTCTCTACATTACAGATAATAATTAAGCCATATTGATAATAGCCATAATTTCACTACAGTTAAAAATTTACCACACTAATCATTTTCAACATTTCACTGTTACAATTTATTTATACTGGTAATCGTCTTTTACATATTTATGATATTCCGTTCAGTCAATAACTCTGTAACTTGTTCAATACAAGAGGCCCAATGGGCCTGCATCGCTCATTTGGTATTGTTCTCACATGTGTAACCTTAAAAGGGAACTGAAATAAAGCTACAGGCAAAATATCAGTACATTGACTTAAAGTAATTCAGAAGAACCTATTAAAGGTTTAAAACACATTTGACACCTGTGACCTTGAAAGTCAAACATGGACATTTAGTTGAAAATACTGTATAGCCCTTCATCCCAGAATGCAACTTGCCAAGTATCACCACCCTATACCTTTTGTTTATTGAGAAGAAGACTTTTAAAGATGTATGCACTATGGACCAGATTTGACCAGGAAAGTGTGTCAATGTCATTCACATCTACAAGCAATCACCCTGTACACTTTAGTTATTTAGAAGAAGTCGTTTAAATATTTCAACATATTTGACCCCTGTGACCTTGAATAGGGCAAAGGTAGTTCATTTAAGCAATCTTTGTAGCCCTTTATCCCTGCATGCTTTAACTGGCCAAATATCATCACCCTGGATCTTTTGGTAATTCAGAAGAAGTCGTTGAAAGGTTTTTAAATCAATTGACCCTTTGACCTTGAATATGGGTGGAGGTCATTCATTTGAAAAAAGTTGGTAGCGCTTCATGCCAAAATCCTTCTGGCCAAATATCATCACCCTGGACCATTTGGTTATACAGAAGAAGTCGTGTAAAGGTTTTTAAATCAATAAACCCCTGTGACCTTGAATATGGACGAAGGTCATTCATTTGAACAAATTTGGTAGCCCTTTATCAACGCAAGTTACTGGCCAAATATCATTACCCTTGGGCTTTTGGTAACTAAAAAGAATTCGTTTAAAGGTTTCAATGACAATTGACCCCTGAGACCTTGAATGTTAGCAAAGGTCATTCATTGGAACAAACTTGGTAGCTCTTCATGCCAACATCCTTCTGACCAAATATAATCCCCCTCGACATTTTGGTCATACAAAAGAAGTCGTTTAAAGGTTTGTAAGACAATTGACCTCTGATACCTTGAATATGGGAGAAGGTCATTCATTGGAACAAACTATGTAGCCCTTCAACAACGCAAGCTACTGGCCAAATATCATTACCCAGTGGCTTTTGGTAATTAATTAGAAGTCGTTTAAAGGTTTCAATGACAATTGACTCGCGACCTTAAATATGGGCAAAGGTCGTTCATTTGAACACACTTGATTACCGTTCATTCCAACATCCTTCTGACCTAATAATATCACCCTGGCCCTTTTGGTTTTTCAGAAGAAGTTGTTTAAAGTAAAAGGTTGACGACGTACGCCGCACCCCGTGGCATAAGTTCACTTGGCCGTTCGAGCCAGGTGAGCTAACACTATGCTTGCATAGATGCCATGGTGTGATTAGACTGACATACGTGAGGATTATCCACGCAAAATAGAACATAAGAAGACTTGGGATCGTATTTATTATGGATTTAAATCTTATATGCATCAAATCTTTTACAATAAACGATAAATAAGTATAAAACAGACATTACCTTAATGAAAAGGGCTACACCACAGATCACTCCGAAATATATCAAATATTCCTCTATTTCCGCCTTTAATGGTGTTTCACAAACCTGGAGTAGAAGTAAATAAAAAGCAGGATGGTTTGTTATCTACCAAATAATATTCTATCTACATACTAGAGTAGAAACAAACTGCGTTCCATCATTGCACATAACGGTATGTGATAATCTATATAACACTATTCTATGAGAGGAAGGCGTCTATATAACGCCAACTGGGAAATACTAGACATGGTACCGCTATACCTGAGTGAGATAGTCTGATATGTAATGTGTATACCTGGTATTGCTATGCCTGGGTGTGATAGTCGAATATGTAATGTGTATACCTGGTATCGATATACCTGGGTGTGATAGTCTGATAAGTTATGTGTATACCTTGTATCGCTATTCCAAGGGGAGATAGTCTGATATGTAATGTGTATACATGTTATCGCTATACCTGAGTGAGATAGTCTGATATGTAATGTGTATACCTGGTTTTGCTATTCCTGGGTGTGATAGGTTGATATGTAATTTGTATACCTATTATCGCTATACTTGGGTGTGATAGTCTGATATGTAACGTGTATACCTGGTATCGCTATACCTGGGTGTGAAAGTCTGATATGTAATGTGTATGCCTGGTATCGCTATACCTGGGTGAGATAGTCTGATATGTAATGTGTATACCTGCTATCGCTATACCTTGGTGAGATACTCTGATATGTAATGTGTATACCGGGTATCGCTATACCTGGGTGTGATAGTCTGATAAGTAATGTATATACCTGGTATCGCTATACCTGAGTGTGATAGCCTGATATGGAATGTGCATACCTGGTATCGCTATACCTGAGTGTGATAGCCTGATATGGAATGTGCATACCTGGTATCGCTATACCTGAGTGTGATAGTCTGATATGTTATGTGTACACCTAATGTGTATACCTGGTATCGCTATACCTGGGTGTGAAAGTCTGATAAGTAATGTGTATACCTGGTATCGCTATACCTGAGCGAGATAGTCTGATATGAAATGGGAATACCTGGTATCGCTATACCTTGGTGAGATACTCTGATATTTAATGTGTATACCTTGTATCGCTATACCAAGGCGAGATAGTCTGATATGTAATGTGTATACCTGGTTTTGCTATTCCTGGATGTGATAGTCTGATATGTAATGTGTATACCTGGTACATACCTGAGTGAGATAGTCTGATATGTAATGGGTATACCTGGTATCGCTATACCTGAGTGAGATAGTCTGATATGTAATGGGTATACCTGGTATCGCTATACCTGAGTGAGATAGTCTAATATGTAATGTGTATACATGGTATCGCTATACCTGAGTGAGATAGTCTGATATGTAATGTGTATACCTGCTATCGCTATACCTTGGTGAGATACTCTGATATTTAATGTGTATACCTGGTATCGCTATACCTGAGCGAGATAGTCTGATATGTAATGTGTATACCTGCTATCGCTATACCTTGGTGAGATACTCTGATATGTAATGTGTATACCGGGTATCGCTATACCTGGGTGTGATAGTCTGATATGTTATGTGTATACCTCGTATCGCTATACCTGAGTGAGATAGTCTGATATGTAATGTGTATACTTGGTATTGCTATACCTGAGTGAGATAGTCTGCTATGTAACGTATATACCTTGTATCGCTATACCTGGGTGTGAAAGTCTGATAAGTAATGTGTATACCTGGTATCGCTATACCTGAGCGAGATAGTCTGATATGAAATGGGAATACCTGGTATCGCTATACCTTGGTGAGATACTCTGATATTTAATGTGTATACCTGGTATCGCTATACCTGAGTGTGAAAGTCTGATATGTAATGTGTATACCTGGTTTTGCTATTCCTGGATGTGATAGTCTGATATGTAATGTGTATACCTGGTTTTGCTATTCCTGGATGTGATAGTCTGATATGTAATGTGTATACCTGGTATTGCTATGCCTGGGTGTGATAGTCGAATATGTAATGTGTATACCTGGTATCGCTATACCCGGGTGTGATAGTCGAATATGTAATGTGTATACCTGGTATCGCTATACCTGGGTGAAATAGTCTGATATGTAATGTGTATACCTGGTATTGCTATGCCTGGGTGTGATAGTCGAATATGTAATGTGTATACCTGGTATCGCTATACCCGGGTGTGATAGTCGAATATGTAATGTGTATACCTGGTATCGCTATACCCGGGTGTGATAGTCGAATATGTAATGTGTATACCTGGTATCGCTATACCCGGGTGTGATAGTCGAATATGTAATGTGTATACCTGGTATCGCTATACCCGGGTGTGATAGTCGAATATGTAATGTGCATACCTGGTATCGCTATACGATATGTAACGTGTATACCTGGTATCGCTATACCTGGGTGTGATAGTCTGATAAGTAATGTGTATACCTGGTATCGCTATACCTGGGTGTGATAGTG